GTTTAAGAAAATTATTACATAACAATCTCAGCATAACTGAAAATCTACCAGTTACAAAGCCCAAAGGATGCTACTAAGACTACCCGAAAGATGCCCCAGCTAACTTTACAGGGTAAAAGCCTCACCGTGACAGGCCTGGTACCGTTTCTCTGAACTTCTCATCAAAACTCCAAGATCTGCGCTTCCAGAGATCTGCTGTGATGGCACCAGCAAAGGGTTGCTTGGATGGTCCGTTGAAAGACAAAGCATTTACTAGTTGTTAGTAAGTACTTTGTGTGAGCTCATCTAAAGTGAGGACTATTTATGCCTTACAAAGCATTTACAAATGATATTGTAACACACAAGAATCAGTTATCTTCTGAACAGAAAAAGGAAACGGACACAACACAAAGGGATACAGAACATATTATTTATTACAAAATGCCTTTCACCCATTCATTCACAAAAAAACACAACAACACGAGAGACTATTAATCCACAAACTGTACAACTGTTGATATAAAATGAACCATCTACAACCTTACCCGTTCTCACTCCCAAGTCGTCACAGTTGGACCAATGGTCAAGACCCCTTGTTGTCACTTTATAACACACTTGGGAGCCCCTTAGCATCATAGTTCAAAGTACTGGGGAAAGCCCTGTAGCATAGTTTTTGAATGCTAAAGACAGGTCTAGAATATTTAACACTAGTGTAGAACTTTAGCTAACTTACCAACCTAGGTTCTGAGAAGTAGTGTTGGGGTAAGAAATAGACTGTGTGTGATTAAAGAACAGTGGGCAGGATTATTACAGTGCCTTTAACACTCTCACAGTGCACCAGCCATATGGGAAACAATCCCCAGTACAAGAACTCTTTCATAAAAAATACAATTTTAAAAAGTGTCCAGTGTCTTTCAGCTATTTGTATCTCTACCTGGGCATGATAATGAACGTGTGGTGGATCTTTCTTATCTGCCAGTGTCCTGTAATCTGATGTGTCAGTCCTGTTGAATGGGATCCGAAGCAGCTGGCCACACCACGGTCCGATCTCATCATACAGGGTGCATCATCTCTGGGACTCGCTTTCCATTTGCATCCAGCGAAGAGTTCACCTCTAAGCTACAATCCAGGGTCTCAAAAACCAGTCTGCAAGTGTCAAAACTCAATATCATCACCCTGTTGTTTTACAGTGTTATAACGTTACCAAAGATTTATAACTTTACCAGGTAGCATTTAAGCAAGACATCACTACTATGAATTAATTAAATTTCTCCATCTCTTAACATTACATTACATTAAATTACAACCAAAAAATACTGAACAGAGTTACACATTTTAGTTAAGGAAATTATCTTTAACACGTATTATCATAAATACTGTAAATAAAAATACCTCTGAAGGTACTACATGTGCTTACACATCCAAAAGTACCTCCAGAGATTAGTTTCTGACAATTGCATCCCTTATTGCAAGTCCAGTCAGTCCCTTATTCTGAGAGCCGACTCCTAGAAGCTAAAAACTGGTCCTCTTTACAAATGAAGAACTCTGAACTTTTATTTTGTTAACTGTGTTTTGTTAATGTAATTTAACTACATGATTAACTACATGATTTACAACACATGCTCAAAATATCCACAGTGTATTTGTGAATACTATTTGTTTTTGATGGATTTGTTGTGGGTAAGATGAGGGTGAGGGTACAAAGAAATTGAAAAAGAAAGGATGTCTTGTGTTTTTATTGCGCGTTTTTTGTCTCTTGAAAAAAGTGATCCCACACTGGCTATTCTACCTGTTGTTCTTTACATAAATTTATCAAAAAAAGAAACGGCCCTTTTTCAGGACACTGTTTTTCAAAGTTTACTTTATTGTAAGGGTTGTAAACAATGTTTTTCATGTTTTTTCAATGAACAAAAGACAATCAATGAACATACACCTGTGTATCAGTTGTTAAGACACTAACAGTGTGCAGCCAATTAAGGTCACAGTTAAAAAACTTAACAGAAAGGAAGGACAGCTGATCTTCATCGCAGCAGCAGATCATGTGTAACAACACCTGCACAGGATTGGTACATCAGAAAATCACCACTGCGGGACAGGGCCAGGATGGCAACAACTGCACGAGTTACACTAGGAGTGCACAGTCCCTAATCCCTAATTAATCTTGATTATTGGAAAGTTCAGAACATTTCTACCTTCCTACTTTCAAACCTTCTTTACTGAGAGTAAGCTGTTTTACTTCCATGCACTGTCATTCTATCATGTTCTTTATATGTGGATTTACAGCGCACCATATAGCAAGTCTGAGAACATTTCAAGGTATGCAAATGATGAATGCTAAAGAAACTTGCATAATAAGGAAATCACTGGTAGTGCTGAGCACTCTGATCCTGCCATCAAGCCTTCTTACAGTCTACTCATTTCATACCTGTTCATTTGATAAATCACAGACACCTTGACTAATCACAGATAATTCCAGCTGGTTAAGTTGAGCAAAACCTTGACTTCTGCTGCCCCGAGCCCAGTTCTTCAAAAGTAATCTTTTCTTGGAATCTTGGAAATGGGTTTTTCAAAAGCAAAAGAGAGATTCCGAACTAAGATCAAAGCATGTAATCCGATCTTACATTTGATCTGGATCAAACCTGCCCTTTGGGTTTTTCAAAAAACTTTGAACTCGGTTTGGGATCTATTTGATCCAAAAAAACAGGATTATCCTGATCCCATCAGAAGGGTGGATCCAGTTGTGATATCTCGAACCAAATAAAACCAGAGAGCTTTTTATTTAAGTGAATGATCACAAAATCACATCTAATGAGATATATTAAACAAAAACTAAAAAATCTAAAATCTTAAAGCTATCAGCTGTCAAATAAATGTCACTGTTGCTCACAGCTCTATAATTCCAAAGTATATTAATGGCAATGACAACAACAAATATACTCAGTCATTCAGTAGCCTAGTTAATAGTAATTCCTCCTGAATGCATGTCCAGTGTGTCCTTCATTAGGTTAAGAACATTGGTGGCTGTTCTGGTTCTACATCAGGCTCAGGCCCATCAAAATTGTCATCATTATTATGAGGTCGGCGTTGCCCACAAGTTGGATGTTGATGCTGTTCCTCCCCTTTCGATTGACATACTCCCACTCCCTTTCACAGGGTGCTTGGATATGCACGTGAGTACAATCAATAGCACCAATAGTGCTAGGCATGTTCCCCAATTTGAAAAAACTTGTGCTTAGTCTGAGCTGTCTGGTCATCCTTGGGTCATCCAGAATTGATTGATCAGACTGCCCAGTGCTACTGACATAGCCTTCACCACATTACTCACGGTTTCTTTTCTCACTCCCATATTGTCACAATGACTTGGTAGAAAGTCCCACATGCGTAAAAGCGCAGAGCGATTAAGCCCTGTTCCTCCACGGATAAAGCATGACTCCTTTGGGTTCGGTGTTGGAGATCTGCAATGTACTTAATGTCATCTCTCCCAAAGCGAAAACGTGCATGCAGTTCTTCTGATGTGTAATAAAGGCTAAGAGACATGGGTGCAAAGACATGACGTATTTAAATGGCGTCACCCATTAACCAACAATGAGTTGATTGGTGTAAGCCTAATTGAGCACAAGCCAAAGCAATCATGCTCATGGCCTTTAAGATCAGTGTTGGTGACACTACAGGGTTAGAAATGTGGCAGAAACGTGTGCAATGCTGGAGGGTGTTCGGGCCAATTTTGCATCGATAGTAGGAGGTTTCAGCTCTGCAAAGGGTGGAGAACTGACCAAAAAAGGAAAATGCAACATTTGGGAGGACATAACCAATCATGTCAATGCCATGGGGTCTGGCCAAAAGAGGACCATAAAACAAGTTATGTTGCGATGGAAGAACCTTAGGGCTAAGGCAACGAAAGACCTTACTGAAGCCAAGAACCCCCAAACAGGTAACAAGCCATATAAGAGGGGTGATTTCACTGATATGGTCCTTGATATCATAGGAGGAGAAAAATCAGAGGCTCTGCATGATACTGAAGGCATAGAAGCAGATGAAGAGGCCACAATTACAGAGATTAGGACTTCAGAAGAATGCGAGCAAAATTCTCCTGCAGAGGAAATGTTTGTCATAGACTTGACATCAGTGAATGAGGAGGAAGATAGATAAATGATGAGGAGGAAGATAGATGTAATGAAGACAGTCCAAGACGTTCCTACAAGAAAACGCAAACGTTCCTCAGCTACAAACCAGGGTGGTGACAGCTATGAGTTGCTTCTGAAACGGGAAACTGAAAGAGCAGAAATACAAATTGAACTGGGTAAAGAACAAATCTTGCTTACCCAACTGTAGCATAAAAAAGTGTAGATGGATATACATCTCCTACAGGCAGAGATGGAAAGAGCTGGTATCTGTCCTGTAAATGATTTTTGACTATTGATAGTATTGTTTTTGTTTTGTTATTTAACATTATAACAAAATAAGGAAAGTAAAATGTTTGTTTATTACAGTGTTTTTGTTTCTTAAAATTAAAATAAACAATGTCCCAAAACTATTTATGGCCACCGGTATTTTGCCTACCTGTTGTTCTTTGCTAAGCCAGTAGGCTACACTGTTGGTTCCATTTAAGGCTCTGGTAAACTGGAAATTTGGTATTTGGATCACAGTGATCCAATCCAATGTTCCTAGCATAAAAGAAAAATGGATCAGGTGATCCTGGATAGCAGAACATTTCAAATCCGGATCAATTTGATCCAGATTACATTTTTTTTTAAACACTGGGCACTGATGTGTGAGTGTATGACGTGTGCACACATGTACGCACAAGAAAACACAACTGATTGTGCAGTACTATTGTGTGCAGACATGTTTGTTCCTCTATCTCTGTGGTGACATCTCATTGACATAATGCATTCCCTTGCGCCTAATCTTTTACTTAAGTAAAGTAAAGCATGGGATCCGAATACTTCTTCCCACACAGCTAGTGTGCTTGACCACACATTAGAATCGAGCCTCAGGACTTTTTAATGGTGGACAAGAATTTTACCCATTCATTCACTGATCTTGTTAAACCTGCTTTGTGGGCAGAGATTAGAGTACACTGGCGAGAGGCGGAGACAAAATAAAAGAGAGAGCTCAAGTTAGATCAAGTACCAGAGGAGTCCTGTTCATGCATTGAAGAGGAAAAAACTAAATGTAAGTACCTATACTTCAATGTATTACATTCACAACTGAATGTTACTGAGACACTATATTTTTTGATTTAAGCTACAATTTTCAAAATCCAAAGAATTTAACACATTTTATTAATCAACAATGTCTATGAAAGTTAACCCCTTTTCCTTTCCTTTTATAACAAAACTGAAAGGTGAGTAGTAGGTGGTAGTGGAGAGTAAAAGGAAGATATAATTTAATATGCTGCTGCTTTTTTCAACATTACATTACATTATTCAACTTTGATTAACTACATGGAAATGGAAAACAGCATTTTTATGAAATGCCTTTTCAATGCCCTCTCTACTTATGAACCACATTATTATAGTGACAATAACTAAAACTGGCCTTTACTTAATCTTATCCTTGAGGACTAATTTTCTAAAAATACAAGTTAATAAAATCTGCTAAACTAAACAAATCTTTTTTTAATTTAATCTGCTGTAAATCTGTTGTGCCATTAGGCAGGAGGGTGTGGCTTAGAATAAGAGCAAAAGAGGAGTAAACGGTTAGATGTGTGTTTACAGGAAAACCAGATATGGCTGCTAAATAGCTCCAAATACCGACTTAAATGTAAAGCAGTGATAATTGATTAAAATATTATTTGATCACCTTCTAGTTGCTGTTCTTGGTCATGGATGATTTTGTTCGTAACAAATTAACTGAATGGGGTCTCAGCATGTGGATCAAAACATTTGAAGGTAAAGTATTACCATGCTTCTTTGTGGGCACAGGTATTATATAATATTGGAATGACCTACCAATACTGAAACATCTAAGCGTCAGCTAATACAGACATCAGAAATGCTGCAGCATTCTTTTGCAGTACAATACTGACATATCCTTGACAAACATTGACAAAATGGCAGAGATCACTGTCTGTTCAGAGTATACACAAGCACTTATGGCAAAGACCTTTGTACATTTTCACACAATTAGAAAAGCACTATTAACGATTAATTAGGAAGAGTATCTGCTGTTTATTACCATCTTTTGGGTTATTGAGATGAGGATCTTTGCACAAGCAGTACTGAAATAAAGACTAAAATGTTTTCAAGACAGTGCATATGAAGGAAAAATATGAGTTCTGAGTTTATTAAACAATAACACACAAAGGTTCAGACTTACGAATGGTGTCAGGCATTGTTCAAGATAAATCAAGCAGGCATGTCCAAAAAGCAATTTGAAATTATCATTCAGCTGAATATTTATTAATTACAGATCAGTGCATTGACAAGAAAAATATTTACTGTCTTGATGAACATGACATCATTAACTTGATCCCAAAAGTGGGACCAAGGTCAACATTCAAGACGAAGCTCAAGTCGTTAAAGGTAATTGTTCTTTACTGTGAAGATATTTACACAAATTCTGTTATTGGTCTCATAAATCTCATTTGTGCATGCACATGCATTTATCATTTATAGGAGAATCAAAACATTTTGATAATGCCTCCAGATAATTTTTGATTTTAATTAATTAATTATTAAACTGTAATGGATTTGCAACTATTTTCTTTTTTCACTAGAAAGAACAAAACACAGCAAATCAGGCAACAGTTGATTCTTCTGCTCAAGTAAGTTAAAAACAGTTTCACACAATTAGGTGTCATCTAAGGCATTTATTACAATCATACAGATTTTATTTTTAATGTTTGCTCACACAGCCTTGCACTGAGAGTATTACTTTTATCTACAGTGCAAACAGGAGCATTCACACTGAATGTTATAGGCATGTAATCAGTAAACTTCATTCTTCATTATTATGTATTTGATGCACTAAAGTGTCCTGAGACAAAATCATCTTTGATTGAAGAATTGTCTCATTGAATCACTGTGTTGTTGACTGAGGAAAAAGGGTATGCTGAATGTGATCACTTTTCTGGACTCCACATCTAACCCAGGGTTTTGGCAGGCTCATCCCAAAGCGGATAAGAAGATAAAGGCAAATATCGTTGAGTGAATTGTAAAGATTTGTCTTCAAGCCTATCGAACCCTGTTATTGGACAAAGCCTGTGTAAATAAAATTTTATAATCAAATACGGTTTTAAGAGTCAAATGTTCATGTTCATCCCCAGGTTCTGCCATCAACCAGTGACACAAGTGATAAAGGTGAGATACACAGTAATAAATAAGCAACTATACTGAGACCACATAATATTTTGAGAGTAATATACAACAAACATTTCTGTTTGGCTTCTTTATATTTCAAAACAAAATCCAATAAGGTAAGAGAAAGTTAGATCCTCAGGGCGAGTCCAGCAAAGGGCAATCACCACCTAGTAAACGACGATGTGGGACAAAACATGGATCATACTCAGGTATTTATATTACTTACTTGCTAAATAATTACAAAACTTTTATGTTATGGCATTGTCCTTGTATCGCAAATGTCTGTTTCTATAGCTTGGCCACAGCAAATATTTTCTAATTTATTAGCCAGAGTTGAAATCTTATCAGAACACCTCGAACTGTCAACAGCATGCATGTTAAGTATTAATGTATATTCTATAATACACAGCTTATGGTAATATCTTAACTGTCTTTTAAATGGATGATGTTTTAAATCAAGACAACCTTTTTATGCTTTGCTAAGTGGTCATAGTATAAGCCTTATCAGTCTGAGGAATCATCAATTGATTGGTCAGAGGAAGTGACTCATTGTGCATTGCTGTTTACAGGATATACACATGTTCATGGTTCCTGCTGTATAGTTATTTTTTTTACTTTGACAGAAGAAATCATACTGTCTGATGTGAAAAACATCATGAACTTTGTCGATAAGAAAATACCTAACCAAGGCAACACAAAGCTCAACAACTTCCTGAGGTAAATTTTAAATGTTGCATATTCTTCCATATTGTTTGTTGTATGGTCCTTTCGTTGTTGTTTGCTAAATTACCTGCATAAGTATGAAAAGTTGTAATGATATGTGAATATAATTTCTTGATTATATACTGTTAGCAAGGACCCAGAAAACTGTGCACAGTTGGTGGATTTTAGTAAGCCTAAGGGCAGATTCCAGGGGCGGATTGGCCACTTGGCAATTCTGGCATATGCCAGAGGGGCTGGACTATTTGTTTTGGGGTGGGCCGGTCAGATTGATATTAATATCAATGTTTCCCACACATCAATTTTACCAAAACATTTGGCGACCCAAGCATTTTGCAGAGAAACACAGAGAAATGATCATCCATTACGTTATAAGACTCAGAAGGTGGATATTTCACAAGCATGGACCAGGTAAAGCAACAGTGAACACATTGGTGCAGGTGCAACTGGGTACAATGTTGGTGTCGGTTTCGATTGGCTTCCTCATTAACAAGCCTCCTCCGCGCACCCGCAGGTGAAAACGGTATCGCGGGTGAAAATCGCGAGCGCTGTGTCATTTTGGCTACTTCATAAAACGTCTCAGGTTACGTATGTAACCCTTGTTCCCCCAGAAGGGGAACGAGACACTGCGTCGGTGACGACACTATGGGAACGCCTCTGGGCGTGGCAGGGCTGAGCTATGAATGAAACTACTCCAATCCTATTGGTGTTGCTAGAACGGTAGCGTGTGACGGTGTAACCGGAGGCGTATATAAGCACACCGACGCAGTGTCTCGTTCCCCTTCTCGGGGAACAAGGGTTACATACGTAACCCGAGACGTTCCCCTTCAAGGGAACTCGGACTGCGTTGGTGACGACACTATGGGAACGAGATACCCACTTAGGCAGCGCCGAAACCCCGGCTGCCCCCAGCGTGCAGAACCTGACGGCACGACTAGGAGGAGAGCGCAGGGGTGCCGGGTGCAGAAGGAAGGTCCAGACTGTAAAACCGGATGAAAGTGTAAGGGGTGGCCCTGACCCTCCCCGGGGCAAACTCCAGGCATCGGGGAGAAACCAAAAGTGCCTGAAGATCCCCCACCCTCCTCAGAGAGGTGATAGCGAGGAGAAGGCCATCTTAAGGGTCAGGTGCTTGGCCTCAGCCGACTCCAGGGGTTCGAAGGGGGCCTCAGCCAGCGCTTCGAGAACCACTGCCAGGTCCCAAATGGGAACCCTGGAATGAGTCACGGGTCTCATCCTTCGGGTTCCACGGAGGAAGCGCACAACCAGTGGAAGCCTCCCCAAGGGCCCATCACTCAGAGGGGCGTGAAATGCTGCAATGGTAGCTTTACATACTTTGAGCGTGGACGGGGAGAGGCCCGCGGAGAAATGGTGCTGGAGAACTCCAGTATCATAATTACCGAGCAGGTAACTGGGTCCACCGCCCGTTCTCTACACCAGGTGGCATTTTAACACATTCCATTTCAGGCCGTACATCCTTCTCGTGGACGGGGCTCTGGAGCTGAGCAGCGTCTCGACAGCTCCTGTCGTCAGGCCCGCCTCTAGGAACTGCGCCCCCTTAGGGGCCAGACCCATAGCTGCCACAGGACGGGGCGTGGGTGAAAGGCCCGGTCCTCCGCCGCAGCCTCGCCATGTCTGCAACATGGCACCCTGCCCTATCGGGGCTGGGGCGAGAGGGAGAACCACAGGGGACAGTGCGTAGTCTCTCGAGACGCAAACAAGTCCACGTCTATGGGCCGAACTTTTCGCATAATAACTCCACCACCTCGGGGTGGAGTTATTATCCATTCCCCGAGTCTCAGCCCCTGTCTCGACAGCAGGTCTGCTCCCTGATTCTGAGTCCCAGGGACATACATTGCTCTGAGGGACAGCAGTCTCTGCTGGGACCACAGGAGGATCTGATGTGCCAGTTTGTATAACGGGCACGAGCGCAGACCCCCCTGGTGATTCAAATAGGCCACCACTGCCGTATTGTCGGTTCTGACAAGGACGTGGCGACCGCGGAGAGCGGGCAGAAAACTCCTCAGAGCTCTGAATACCGCCAACATTTCTAGGCAATTTATGTGCCAGGAGAAATTATGCTCCTGCCAGGAGCCTCTCGCAAAGCGGCCGTCCATGACCGCGCCCCATCCCGTCAGTGCGCCGTCTGTCGAATTAATTGTTCGGCAACAGATCGCTCCGAACACGGGACCTTGGGACAGGAACCAAGATTTCCTCCATACAGACAGGGAACGAAGGCACCTGCTTCTCACCCGTATCAGACGGAGCGGATTTCCCCTCTGGGAGAATCCCTTGGATTTTAGCCACCACTGCAGAGCTCTCATGTGCAGTAGTCCAGAAGGTATTATACTGAATGCTGCTGCCACGAGACCCAACACCCTCTGAAAGTGTTTTACAGTGATGGCTAGGCCCCTGAAGGTAAACCTCAGGAACTTCCTGTGAGAGGGACGGATGGAGACTGGAAATAAGCGTCTTTGCAGATCTATTGTGACAAACCAATCCTCGGAACTGATTTGGGGGATGGTGAGCATCCTGAACCTGAATCTCCTCAGAGGGGCCCAGAGGGGCTGGTGGCCGGTGTTATGCGCAGGTCCCCGGTGGCACCCTGAAGTGGAGGACCGCCAGGGAAAACTCGCCGGCGACCCACGGTGTGTGAGCCCGATCGTTTTCCAGCTGCAACCGCTCGAGGCAGGCAGACTGGTGAGAGCTCGCTGGCGGCTAGCGTGTCCCCAGAGCCAAGACGGCGGGAAAACAGAGCCTGTTGCCTGAGCCACCACGAGGGATGGGGACCTCGGTCCGTCACTCTCGGGGGGTGGTGGTGGTGGGCCCCCCTACTCAACCTCTTCCCCGAGCCCGCTGAGACTGAATGACGGTCCTCAGACCCGTCTTCTCGTCGAGTGCGTCGCCTCACGCCCCAGGTTTGTTGAGAGGGACTATGGGAAGCGACACTTCGCTTCTGGCTCCGGCGGTAGGAGCTAGCCGAGGGCTGAGCTCGTCTCTCTTCAGCCGTCGCCATCCTGGACCCAGACCGGCGGGGGAGATATTGCTCAAACACCTCTCCCTGCATTTTGACGTGCTGAAACCTGCTGACGATAGCATCCACTGCCTCACCAAACAGGCCAGTAGGAGAGAGGGGCACATCCAGGAGAAAAGCTTTCTCCTTCCCCTGGATGCCCGAGAGGTTGAGCCACAGATGGCACTCCGTAGCCACTAATGCTGCCATGGAGTGGAGTGTTAAGTCCGTAGCTCTATGGAGCTCAGTCAGGTCCTCATCAGAGGGATCTCCCCCTAGGTCACAGTCTTTGAGAAGATCGGCCTGGTATGCCTGCAAGGTGGCCATAGTGTGCAGGCTTGCACCAGCTCGACCCGCTGCCATGTAGGCCTTGCCCACCAAAGCGGATGTCGTCCGACACGGCTTGGTGGCCAGCATCTGAAAGAATGAATCAAGGGTGGGAGAAAGATAGCTCGCGAGCGCTTCTTCCACCCGAGGCATCGTTCCAAAGCCGTGCTGCTTAGTTTCTGTCACGCTGCTGTAGTCCAGCAGAGGGGACGCAGTCAGCCGTGCAGAGCAGCTCTTTTTCTTTTCTCTTGGTCTGTTCCATGATTTACACAACTCATTGTGTAAATCAGGAAAGAAGGATCGACGCGGGGTGGCGCTCGGGCTGCAGAAAAGCTCATTGAGGTTACTGCCAGCTACTGCTTATATTATTTCACCATCTCTAAACAAATGTAGCCTAAGTAGTGAATGTGTGTTCGTGGGGATACGTAGTAAGGTGGGCTGGCGTGGCAACAGTGCTACGGCTGAATTTTTGTCCCAGTCAGCCCCTGGCAGGTACACACTGGTCTTGTGTAGTCCGGCTGAACCAAACGCTTGAGCGTTTACCCCCTTGGTGTGGTTTGTGTGGGTTAGCGTGTTTGCTGAACTTGAACTCTGGTGTGGACCAAACAACTGCTCTCGAAGAAGTGGTCTCGGACTACTGTCAAGTGAGCAGTTAATTTCTTTGAGCACCATTTGAACCAATCACAGGAATCATATGTCATTTAAAATACTACTTATGTTTTATTACTGTGCTGTTAAATGTATTATGGCTGGTATTTAACATATTTCATATTTATCAGACTACGTTATATTACCAAGTAGGTTTTCCCTGTTTGACAGTATAACTCAGTAACAAGCGTGCACGGTCCTCTAAAGTCTGCTGAAACGTGCTCCAGACCAATACCAACATGAACAGGATCAGACGGTATGGTTGTGACACTTTTTGCTTCAGCAACTATAACCCCTGATTTTTTTTTAGCTAGAGTTCTTAAACTTTTTTATACAAAGTACCCACATTTGTTCACTATAAATGGCACCAATTTAATCCTCTACAAGAACATCACAGATCTTGTGAGTAGATGTCAAATGCATTGTGTTCCCTGGCCTTTTATTGTGGCCAGCCTAAGGCACACCTGTGCAATCCCCATGCTGTCTGATCAGCATCTTGATATGCCACACCTATGAGGTGGATGGATTGACTCGGCAAAGGAGAAGTGCTCACTAACACAGATTTTGACAGAGAGAGAGAAATAGGCCTTTCGTGTACATAGAACAAGTCTTTGATCTTTGAGTTCAGCTCATGATGAATGGGGACAAAAACAAAAGTGTTGTATTTATAATTTTGTTCAGTATATTTTGGCCAGATGTGGGCAGCAGAAAAAAGCAGAAACATTTTTATTTCAGTCTTTATATATTTTCCAAATTAATCAGTGAACCCATTTTTAAATTCTTCTTCTACAGGTATAAAATTTGTGATTTGGAGACAGAGAAGAGGGAGCTGGTTGGTGTCTTTGGTAAAACTGGGGCTGGAAAGAGCTCTTTGATAAACGCTGTCATCGGAGAGAAGAATCTCTTACCCTCTGGAAGTGTCAGTGCATGTACCACAGTCATGATTAAAGTGGAGGCTAACATGCTGAACTCAAAGTATGAGGCAGAAATTGAGTTCATTACAAAAGAGGTAAAATGAGTTGAATATGTTGTGCTTATTTGAAGCTATTTGAAAAGTTATGATGTAGCTGAAAATATAATTGCTATTTACATTACATGTCATTTAATTAAACTTAGTTCAATGTAATTATTTATTTTGTAGGAGTGGAAAGATGAGTTGTGGTCCCTGTTAAATTTCCTTCGGGATAATGCAGATAAAGACAAGGAAGATGACGATGATTATCATGACGATGAAAAGCTGTCAGCAGTGTATGGAGAAGAATGGAAAGACAAATCTCCTGAAAACCTCATGGATGACAAATATTTCAGAGAAATTCCAGAATTTCTTCTTTCCAAAAGGAAGATTTTGACATGTGAATCGGTAAGTAAGAGAAAACAGTCTTCTTCAACAAAGAGTGGACTTAATCCATCAGTCCTCAATAACTACAACCCCTGATCAATAGGAAAATAAGTCAGAACATTGTCTACCAGTAACTACATTAATTCATGTAATTTTCAAAATTTCAATCGGGGTTTCATTGCGCCCAAACAGCTCTCATTAAGGTCCTAAGCTGTACATTGGCATTAACAACGACGCCAAGGTCTCTAGAATTGCCTTGAACTAGTTCAGACCCTCCAAATGTTGGACAGTAGCCTAATAATTTCATTTTAATTGGCAATATTTTTTCCGAGCAATTCTGCTTGTGGAGTACCACATGGATTAATAATTTCTCCTTTCTATGTCTATTTACTGTCCCTTTTCCTAAAGTAACTATTTCAACACTTACACTAGTTTGACAACAGTCAAATCTACATTTCTCTATAGTCTTTAGCTGTGGTCCCACTGACTCACTTATCAGTGCACTGTACAAATGAATGGATTTGAAGTGCCAGCATTGTCTCTTGCTAAATAAAGACAGTCCCCATAACAAAAGATATGCACATGTTATATTGCACGCCTTCACTCTTGTCTTTAAAAATGTAAGACACTTACTGATAGGATTTCTGTTTCTGGTTTTATTTTTTCTGCAACATTTTGATTATTACAGAACAAATCATGGCTTCAGTCATAATAATAATCATAATTAATAATAATCCATCATTGTGCATTTATATTTTTTTTCATTTTCAATTTCACCAGAACTTAACTACGATGATATAGCGTTATAACGTTATATAACAAGTAACGTTACTAGTATTAGTAGTAGTAGTCTGGTTTATTAGAAGTAAGAAAAGAAGAGAAATTTGGACAAATGGAGGACCACATGAATTATTTAGCACAAGAGCAGACAGAGCGTGTCGGCACCTCTTGCGTGCGTGGAAAGGGAGGGGGGAGCGGTGCATTCATGTGGTGTCAGAATGTTTTTTTCCTCCTTAGATCTTTATTGCAAAAAGAGAAATAAAGTCAGTAACAGTCAGTTAAAGTGTTATTTTTATTCATTTTGTATTGTTTATTTCAGGCTAAAGAACTGTCCGCAAAATTTGTCAAATTCACAAGAAGTGACTCAAAAGACGAAGAACGGAAAAAAGTAAAGAGGTGGTACTGGCCACTAGTGAAGTGTGTGACTGTCAGGGTGCCTGGGAATGATTCTCTCCAGCATGTCACACTTGTGGATCTTCCTGGAAATGGGGACCGTAACAAGAGCAGAGATAAAATGTGGAAAGGGGTAATTTTTTGCAGCACTGTTGATTATTGTGTACTACTGTGTCATCCAGACACTGTAACATTGTGTTATTACAAAGCTCTGATAATTACTTATTCATAATTGACGTGATATTATGCCCCTCCAGATTGTTGGGAGTTGTTCTATTGTGTGGATTGTGACTGACATAAATCGAGCTGCGGCAGAGAAAGAACCCTGGGAGATCCTGAAAAGTGCCAGTAGCCTCATGGGAAATGGTGGCCAGTGTCAAGAAATTCACTTTATCTGCACCAAATCTGATCTTATTGAAGATTCGGATGATCCGTAAGTGATTTAAGATACAGTATATCCAAATTAGACACCGATACGTGTGTGCCAAGAGCGCAACATAAGTAAACACAAGCAAATACACATATCGTAATGTTCCCATTACTACTCCTGCACACATTTGGAGCCTTGTCCCCCCTAGCATTGCCCCATGTAGTCCTAAAATTCCTGTTATTAACCCAGCACAGATGAAGATGGCTCTTCTCAATCAGGACAAAGTCTGGACAGTCTGGGCGGCGGGCATGGCGGTGGGGGTTGGCAGGGGGGGGATGCTTGTGGTGGGTTTCTGTCCGGTGGTGAACGTGCAGTTTGGGTCACGGTGTAGCCGTGGGTGGGGGTCTCTGGTCTCCCTAGCTGCCGAGAGGATGGGGGTGGTTTGCGCCGGCTGGCATCTCTCATGTGCAGTGCATTACTTGGCTGTTGTGTAGCGTTAGTTAGATTGGTAGCGGGGTAGTGTTGGTTGGCTCACCTGTAAGTCGTGATTGGTTTGTGTGCTTGTCGGGGGTTGGGGGCATCAGGTGCGGGCCTGGACTGGGCTGGTGTGCGGCTCTGTCCTGTGTGCATGCTGTGCATTCTGATAATTATATTTCGGTTCTCTGAGGGGTCTGGCGACTGGTTGTTGGAGGGGTGGGGGACCAGGAAGAAGGGGGTTGACCGGGTGGGTTGGGGTTGCGCGCTGGTCCTTTTTGAGCTGGTTGGGGGGTGTCTCCTCTGGATTTTGGTGCCTGGACTGGATGCTTCATGTACGGGGATCCTGTGTGGGGAGGGATTGTGCTTTGGGGTGTGTCGTTGGTTGTTTTGCGTCAGCCCCTAGGTGGGTCCTAGGGGCTGGGTGCATCTGCTGATGCTGTTGCTGCTGTCGCGGGGTGATTGCTGTCTCTTTTCTTTGGGGACAGTGGGGGGGTGTGTGTGGGATGCTTCGCTGCTAGGAAGGGAGGGGCGCAAGGGTGGGGGTCTTCTGGCCTGGTCTGAGTGGCATTGCCTCCTGGGTGTGGGCGGACCTTCGGGTCTGGGCCGTTGGGCCGTTCTGTCCTTGGGCGGGGTCCTTGCCGCTCTGAACCAGCTCCCTTGTGGGGGCGGGGGGGTTGTGCCAGCTCGGGTAACCTGGTCGTGCTCGGAGTGCTCCTGATTGTGTGGGAATGGTGAGATGGGGGGGTGGCAGTGGGGCTGCCAGAGGGCCCCGGCGAGGGGATTGTTGGACTTTGGGTTGGGGCTGCGCTGACCTGCCTCGGGGTGTGTGGGGGTCTGGGGCTCGGGGCTTTGGAGCCTCTGGGTGTGGGGCAGGTCTGCACGCTGGGGGGGCTGGACCCATCCTGGGGCTGGGCGGGGTTGTCGCTGACTCTGGGGTGCTGCCGGTGCTAGAGGGGCTCTTGCTATAAGCCCTGGGCTGGAGGGACCTGGTGTCCTCCTGCTTAGGGGGGTGGGGGATGGGACTGAATGATGGGGCCAGTCAGGAATCTGGTCCCAGTGAGGAGGACCATTCTATCCTCCCTTCACCTTCCCCTCTTTGGTCATGTCTCACTACATACACCCTTAGGACTCTGAGGGGTGGGCAGGCTGCAGTGCGTTTGGTGGGTGGGGCTGCTTTATTGCGGCCTCACCCTTCTTCCTCCCCCACTGGCTACCCCTCAATTTTAATTACACATTACACAGAGGGCTTGGGGGGTGGGAGGGGCACGATGGGAGGCTCCACTACCTGACAGTTTTGGGGTGCCTGTGTCACAACTACCCTCCAATTTTAACACACATCTTATCTTTACTCCACCATACAACACTTCACAATCCATGACATGCATCCAACACAAAACAATACAGAGGCAGGCAGAGGGGTTGAAGGAGTCATCCCCCCCACTCCACTGGGCCCCCGTCCGGGGATGAGATCGGCCTCGGGGGCTGCTGGCTCTGCCTGCACTCTGGGGAGGGATGCCTCTGGCTGGGCTGGGGGACTGTTGGCCTGGTTCTCCTGCGTTATCGCTCCCTGGCAGCGGGGAGCTTCCTAGCACGGCTCTCTGCTGTTCTTCCTCAGGGTGGGGTACAGCTTCCCCGAGACATGCGGTCTGGGGTCCTTTGCGCTTTGGGGGGTCGCGGGGTGCCCTGGCTTCTGGGGGTGGGGGTCTCTGGGCGCTGCGCGGGTTGATCCGGTTGCGGTTTGGAGGGCTGCGATGGGATTGTAGGGCGATTGTCGATGCATCTTGATGCATTGTGCTTTTTCCCTGTGCAAGGTTTCTGGATGGCTGCTGGACGTTTAGTTTGTGCATTGGTGTCCGGGGGAGGCATTTCCTCGTTGGCTTGAATGGACCAGTTTGCGTCCCTGGTTTGCTTTGTTGGCCTGTCTTACTATGTCAGCTGTTTATTGCTGCTGTTCAGCTGGTTGTCTTTTACTATTCTTATTATTTTAATTGTTTGTTTGTTTGTTTGTTTGTTGTTGTTTTTCTCTTCCCCAAGCCCCCCTCTCTGTTCTATTGCAGGTTTCGTTGCTTTCTGCAATTGGTGTTTTCCTCTGCTATTCCCTATTGTCCCTACCTTCCATCCCCCTTCTCTTATAGGTGTTGTCCTTTCTCTGTGCTGTCTGTTTGTTCCCCCCCATCCCCATGTCTGCCCCCCTGTCCGGCCAGGTGACAAATCAATACATAATTAAATAAATAATACAACAGACAAAGGAGTATATTAATACTCTCTTGTTAAAGTAAAATCTGCCTGGCACAATATGGTATCCAGCTCATCATACTCTATACCAGGCCGCTGGGCAGGACAGGTTTAAAAAAAAATTAAAAGAAAAAGAGAAAGTCTGGACAGTCCAAGCTACATTCGGAGGTGTTTGAAATGTGATTCCAATCAGATTTCTACAGATACATATCAGTCCAGACACTCCGTTTTCATGTTGTCCAGAGGGCAGATAGCCTACTGTACTGTACATCTGTTTAAAAGGAAAATTTATGCACATTTTATTCCAATCAGTGTTGATGGTAAATGCAGTCCATTGAACCAAGAAGTTCTTTCTGCATCCAGCACCATTATTTGACGTGACTATTAATTCAGCTACTACTTCAGGTTGAGTTTCTAGCTTCTGTCTCTTTGGTTGTATTACAAAGAAGCGAAATTTCAAACAGTGAAAATGGTTTCCCAGAATATGAGTGCAGAGGATATTATGGATGAGGATAAATTTTGCAATGTTTTGGTTGACTCCAATATTTAGTTGTATGTATTTCTGAACCAAGTTTGCATTTCCGCAATTATCTCAAAGTCCAAATTCTTCAGCACTTTTAGCTCCTAACCTCAGTCATCTACTTCTCCTCTGAAAATGTTGCATTTTTCGTAACTTGCATGGATACCGATCATTGCCACTTAAAGCTATATTTAGATTTTTATTCTGAGAAAGAGAAGAAGAATGTATGTGGCAAAATAACAAATAATGTTATAATTCTAGGTTCCAGTGCTCCAAATATTGTATGAAGTGCCACTTAATGCAAATATTTTCTTATAGTTCAGCCGCTGGTGTTCGTGCTCTCATATTTAAAAAAAACATGCAAGCCAAAAAAGAAGTGAGCAGAGAATTCAGCAAACTAAACAAGGTTAAGGTGAGTTTTATTGATTTGACACAAAGTCTAACATAAAGATTGTTTACAACTACAATCCTGTCTTATAATCATTCAAAACATTTTTTTTTCAGAAACATTTCAGTGATGACTGTTTCAAAGTGTTCACAGTGAGCTCCAAAGAGTTCCTAAAGAAAAAACATCTAAACCCAGATGAAACTGGTAGGTGAAGTCTCCATAAGTTTACTTTAACCATTTTAATTCATACAAGAATGAGTAATTGGATTATGCTATTTAAATATAAGTATGTAATGTAAATATGTAAGATGCAAACTGAATTTCTTACAGAAATCCCCAAACTTCAGGAGATCCTACAAAATCTCAATGACTGTCACTCAGAGACATTAAACTATGTGACTGGAGCTTATGGGATTCTCTCTCTGATGCAAGGCGCCAAATCTAGAGAAGTGGTACAAACTACAGTAGTAATAAAACTTCACTGATAGGCGTCATAATTATCATTAATGTTGACAGAATAATAATATTCATAGTAAATAAGTAAACTGAAGCGAACTACACTTAAATTCAGTGAAACCATGTCAAGTGAATTGATCTGTGTGTGATTTGTGCAAGTGTGAATTTTATCCATCAAGGTAGTTGATTTCCTGAATTTTTGTTGCTACAGAGAGGCTGCATAAACAGAAAAACAAATGCATGCATGGACCTTGAAAAAAATTTGAGACATGAACTTGATAAAGTCAGAGAAGCCATGGACGAGGCTCATAAGGCTTTTGAAAAATGCCTGAGTGAGGGGGTTGAAAGATCTAAAAGTTCATGTGACCAAACTTGCATTCCGTCTTATATCCTGTACGTATTATATAAATTATAACTACATCAAAACAACAGATTTTCCACTTCATATGAATATGCTTACTGTCTTTACATTTTTTCTGTTACTTTGTTGCTTTGTTTTGTTTCAGAGAGGGGTAAAAGGTGGTGGTTTTCACATGACTTTGAAGTGTTTAGTTGTGAACAACGGCATTTATCTACCAAAAAAAAAAAAAAGCAAACCAATAGACCTCAATGTGAAGTTAGCTTCAAGCCTCACTGACAGCATTGATGAGAAATTCAAGAAGACCTTCCCGTAAGACATTACTTAATGAGGACATAAAACCCTTTGTTGGCCCATTTTACAAATTATTTCTGTCAAATTCTATACAAAACGGTTCTAAAAATGATGTAATATAACACAGATGTACAAATACATTATTAAAATACACACTTGTCATTGCTACCTTAATGAAACATTTCAACGTGTTAACATGTTTCAGAAATGAAGGAAAATGTGGACCATTCAACGGGGTCATCAACACGTTTTCACTTGACACAAAGATGCTGATTCAAAAGCACAAAGATGTCAAACTGCAACTGATATTTCTCAGGACAGAGGTAAAAGATTGCTAAACATAAAGCTCTACTGGGGCACAGATCCACTCATTCCCAATGTAAATTTTAGATTTATTTTTGATTGAAGAGTATGAAATGTGTTAGTATGTGCCTCACCAGCTTCCCTTGCTTAGCCAATTAATATTGACACTGTCATGTCAGAAAGGGCTTTGACCACAGCATAAGCACACACTATGGTACAACTTAAGAAAATTCTGCTATGGCCCTCATACCTCGCTTGTGAGCCATGTAAACAATTTGCCATTGCTGCACAGTCACACCTGACACTGCAGTGCTCTCACTACTACCTCTCCTTTAAAACAGTCTGTGTCTGTTATAAGCCCGAATGGAAACCTCTTCTAGAAAATACCCCTGCTGATTTGAATGGACCTCCCCGCATTAACTCAATCCTACATTAGGGTCTGAGCTGCTTGTATCTGATTCTGCCTGTAGACCTCTGGCTGTGCTTTTACTGGTTGAGGTTGCCTGTTTTTCACCTCGGTCCGTGTGCCCTTCTAAAAACGTCTGGACTGGGTCTGTGCTAGTACTGGATTTGGATCAGCTGTGCTTGTACTGGCTTATGATCCAGCATCTACTCTACTGACAAACTTCTGCATAGCCCCTGGAAATTATAAATATCAATACTTGCAAGATATTAATGTTTCTGCTTCAACCTCATTCAAACTGGCTCCCCAGGTTTCCTTTAATACCTTTTCAAAAGGAAAATACTATTTATACTATGACATGACTATGTGATGTTTATCTACTGAGAGATGTGCATCCATATTACCCAGCTAATCAACATCTCATCAACGTTGTAAACACTGGCTTTCAACACTGACCCGTTTTTTGCGACGTTTCATATAGTTACAACGTGCCTTTTCACATCAACCAGTAGTTTAATTTTGAAAGTGTAACGGATGTTGCATATATATCATTGCTAACTTGACCGGATGTTGTAGATGTTGCTAACTTGACTGAAGCCCTACACATCCAAAAATGACACCAAGGCGTCTTGACAATTTCACTGGGGCACACCACATTGATACAGGGCATGTGCCCCAGTAAAAAGGGTCTAGCGACTCCTATGAGAATAGTATCCTATTACTATGTATCTATTAGTCCATCATAAAGCAAATCAAACATCAAGTTTATCAGTGAAGACTGGAATGAAGATTAAACATTGAACAATTAAGCAAAAACAATATATAAAGTATTTTGAGCTATTAACATATTAATTTACACTGTATTTGTAAATAACAAAACAGTGCAAAGATAATCCTTCTTGAGTCTAACAAATACTTAATTTTCTCTCTGCAAGGAAAACAAAATTAAAGCAAAACTCATCAAAATCATCCGGGAACGTAAGAAAACAATCTACAGCAGTCTGATGACGACAATCGAGAAGACCATGCAAGAATGCTATATAAGTAAGATCAAGATATCTACAATGTGATTTAATAATAATAAATGTTAACATTTATCATTATTGACTAGAAAAATGTAGTTGACAACAATGTTCTGTTTTATTGTAGAAGCAGCAGAATTTAGAGGACCGGGCACGCTGAAAAACATGAGGAACACTATTGAGAAACACATTTGTGATTCAAAGAACACCATGTTTAAACAGGCTAAAGATGTTATGTTGAGCAAACTGAGACACTTGAAGGTTTGTCTCATTTTATAATACATGGTACGATGATGATATAAAACATGTTGTGCTGCAGATTGTTATCTTTCTCCATGATTCTAGGTCATTGTTTTCTTTTTATATTCATATGGATATGCATTATCCTGAAAGCTACTTTTGCTACTAAAAACACTGTGGCACTTTCACAAACATGCAGTTATTGTTTTTAATCTAAGACAGAAACATACTAAAGCTGATATAGCTATAGCTAACCCTTTTGTCCAGTCTGAACAGCCCTCTGTACACACATTTAAACAGTTAATCAATGTAGGACTCTGAGTGAGAATTGATAAAGATTTTGATGCTGAACTAGGAGGAAATCCTGCAGACACTGGAAGAAACAATGCAGAAATCAATTGACCTGTCACTCAAGATAGATGCTGTCTCAATCCCAGGTAAAGGAACGTATCAAAATACGTGAAATTAATAGTGCACTCATTGTAAATTATATGTTTTTAATGTTGGATATTTTAGATGTTACAGCGGAGCTTGAAATGGTGAAAAAATACTACCATGAACTGAGAGGAAGCCCAGATGGACAAACACAAATGTAAAATAATTTGGTAAAACTTTGTCAAAATGTTACATAATGCCCTGATTATGAGCTGTTCTGAAAAATGCTAACAATGCTTTAATTATACTAGTGCTGATCCACGCAGTCCAGCAGCTGCACCGTGACATGTGCAGGTATGTTTTAGTGAAACTGATGAACCGAACAGATGATAGATGCTCTGACAGCCCTACTGTTTGTCTTTACTGTTCACAACCTCACTGCTTATCTCTCTTGTGGATGTTTCAGATTTGCTCAATGGAGAGAAACAGCAGAAGCCTGATTATCCACTGAAGCTCTCTGCAGACACACTGATTAGAGACATGAGGCCTCTGGATTTGGTCTCAACCATTTTATCAAGTTCTTATCTCTGTTCTGGGTGTTGTGTTCATGTGTACTTTGAGTGCTTGTTGTGAATTACATGCACAGAGATTTTAGATTTCCTTTTGTGTTTTTGGTTGGACATTTTTGCCTTTAATTAATTGTAGATCACAGTCAAACAAATAATGTGGGAAGACAGAAAGACGGGGGTGACATGCAAAAAAGGCTCCTAGCTGGATTTAAACCAGGGACGTTTTGGATTTCATCATTATGGGTTTTAGCGACTATAGACCACTATGATGTCCCAGAGATTAATTAACTTTTTATTTTCTTCATCTTGAATATATTTTCATGTTTGTCATCTGTGTTATTTTATGAGTTTAGTGTTGGTTGATTGGGATGGGTGCTTTGAAATTTAAATGATTTCATGACTGTCTTGATTACAGTGCACTGTGGAATTGACTCTCTAGCGGACTATAGGCCTATAGAAAACATTAGTAGAAATTATTGAAAGATAGATGTGTTTATTTTTGTGCTGTTCACTTTATGGACATCGTGACTGAACATTGTAATCAATAGTTTGTTTTGTAGGCTGTAGGAGTGCTTTTTGGAATTTTGCATCATAGGCCTACTTAGGCTGCTTTCATTGTTGTAGCCTGTGTTATGTTCAACTTCAGTGAACGTGTGTGTGACGTGATACTTTTGACATGATTGTATACATTTCAGCAAACTCTTTAGGCATATATCTCATTCTGTTCTTTAAAAGTCTAAGGTTTACAAATAAGCCTAGGCTTATTTGTTTGTGTCTAGCCTTGTACATTTGTATGTGCTTTGATTAGTGTATCCAACGAAGGTTAAAGTCAAGGGCAACTGGACTTGGTTGAAGATACTGGAAGACGTTTCGTCCCTCATCCAAAGGACTTCTTCAGTTCTGACTGACTGGCAGGGAAACTCAGCTATTTAACCTCAGTGGGGTCGTTTGCCAGGGTCATCGATACTGCTGGTTTGTTAGTGTTCCTGGTTGCTGTAACGACAGTCGTTACAGTCGTTAGGACTACTGGTGGCCAAGACTGAATGACCATCGTTGGTATCTTCACCTGAGGCCAAAAGGTTACGTTTGTTGAGTTTCCTGGGAAGTGATTTGATTAGTGTAGTTAGCCTTAGCTATTTCTCTGAAGTTTTTGAGGGTGCACCCAGTGTTCACATAGATTACTTTAATGATCAGTCCCAATTGTCTGTCGATGAACATAGTGGCAGACTATACCTAGTAGGCTATACCCGTTACATCAACAAATAGTCCACAAAATTAGCCATTCGGTGGTTTGCTTGAACAGGGTGGAATGAGATGGAGTCAAATCCTCGGCCTGAATAATTGTGCCAGTCTGCCCCTGCATAGACTTTAGGTTTTTTAAAGTTGAAATGCTCTTGATTTACAATTTTTTAAAAAGAGAACTAGATGATGGTAATAAATAAGTGGCTTCATCCTGGAAAATAAACAAGTCATTCAGTTAATCACTAAAAAATAGTTTTGTTGGTTTTGTTTTTATCTACACTGATTCTAAATGCATAAATGTAAACGCTCCAATAAACCTAAATAAAGTTTGCTTTTGAGTTAAAGTGCAACATGTTTGGCTTCTTTATTGTTGATGTAGGTGTAAAATCATCTTATCTCTAGGTTCTCGCTAGCTTTGTACACACACTTATTTATCCTTGGATTCACAAAGATGATGTACTGTAAATGTTGGCCAGATCTGGATTTTGTTTATGCTGGATTTTGTTATCAGCATTCATTTTTCTTTCCTACTCATCAGTCGGTGCACTGCACTCTCTGAAATAGTGTACGCAAAGTTAGTCTTGTCTTCTGCATGTTTTTTTTCTTCTTAAACATTCACTTGTCTTTAGGTGGCAGGTGTTTGAGCAGTTGAGGAATAAAACACACAATAAACAAACACATTTCCAACTTAAAAAATGTCTGCAGGCAAATGTGTAATATGTACGCCTGCGGGCAGCACAATTTCATCGAGAGGAAAACCTTCACTAAACTGTCTCTTCTTTACGTACTGGGACTCTCTGTGTGTGACGTTATTGTGTTCCACCAGTTGACCAATTTTTTTGTGGTCCTTTGATGGAATCATTTACTTTACAATGAACTGTTGTTCAGCAAGATAGTGTGCAACATTTGAGGTGTATTGTTATTGATTCATTGATGAATGTTAATGGAATGTATTCATGTTAACAAAGAGCCTCTTACTGATGCAAGAAAATGGAACACGTGGACACACAGATGAGCCATAAATAGGGACAGGCATGACAAGGACTGTCTTTTTAAACAGCAAAGTCACTGTAAACTCACTGATAACATGAAACGAGACATTCTCACTCAAGTTTACTGCTGGTGTGTTACACCAGTGCTGAATGTAGCTTAAAATTATCTCAGAAAAATTTGAATGAAAAGTGGGATCACAGACAGAAAGAGAAACAGGAATATCAATATCAATCAATATATCAATATAATTTCAGGCTAACACAGACACATTATGTTGCAGTAAAACACCCTGTTTACCACGTGACTGTCCTTGAATGCTTCAGGGGTTAGTTCCTCTTCAAGACAAACAGTTTGCATTATTTTTTGCATGAATTTGTCTGTTTTGTGTGTGTGCCATGGTAAGCAAACTGCTGTTTTATAGTGCACCAGGAAGCTACAAAGGATATTCACGATTCACGATCACGATTTCAACACACAACAGCTTTGCTAAAAAAGAGAACGAGTAAAGATTATTGATCGGTCCTCCAGGAATTATTGATCTGGTGATTACAACACTTACATGCACAGTTGCAAATTTATGTAATAATAAAATCCAAGTCAGAGCCACTGTAATGAACACAGGTCAGATATTTCTTACAGATACTTAATAATCTGGTACATCAAAAAGTTTCCTTCTCTGGCAGCACTCTCAGGCTGTGTGTTAGTGTCTCTGTGGTTGGTTTCATGGTGAGACAGCTGTTCCCAAAATGAGTGAAGTAATTAGAGCAGGTGGGGTTGAGTGGAACCACAATATTACCAAACAGGTGAAGAGGGGGGAAAAAGTTGTTTGGTGCGGAAACTGGCAAGTAGCCAATGTCAGCATATCCACCTCCTGGTCAACACAGAGACAGAGCCCTTTTGTCCAGGCGTATGCGTATTTTACTGGTCCAGTCAGATGTTGTCTAAAAGTAATCATTACTTCATCCATCGTTTCAGGGAAGCCAGTGATGGAAGTTCTACTTACAGCTTTTACTTAAGTAAAAGCATCAATACCACAATTTAAATCTGTCTTCCAGACAAACAGTTTGCATTATTTTTGCATGAATTTGTCTGTTTTGGGTGAGTGCCATGGTAAGCAAACTGCTAGTGCACCAGGAAGCTACAAAGGATATTTACGATAGGAATAATTTCAACACACAACAGCTTTGCTAAAAAAGAGAACGAGTAAAGATTATTGATCGGTCCTCCAGGAATTATTGATCTGGTGATTACAACACTTACATGCACAGTTGCAAATTTATGTAATAATAAAATCCAAGTCAGAGCCACTGTAATGAACACAGGTCAGAGCTTTCTTACAGATACTTAATAATCTGGTACATCAATAAAGTTTCCTTCTCTGGCAGCACTCTCAGGCTGTGTGTTAGTGTCTCTGTGGTTGGTTTCATGGTGAGACAGCTGTTCCCAAAATGAGTGAAGTAATTAGAGCAGGTGGGGTTGAGTGGAACCACAATATTACCAAACAGGTGAAGAGGGGGGAAAAAGTTGTTTGGTGCGGAAACTGTAGCAAGTAACAAGTAGCCAATGTCAGCATATCTACTTCCTGGTCAACACAGAGACAGAGCCCTTTTGTCCAGGCGTATGCAACATCTTTATTTTACTGGTCCAGTCAGATGTTGTCTAAAAGTAATCATTACTTCATCCATCGTTTCAGGGAAGCCAGTGATCGAAGTTCTACTCACAGCTTTTACTAAGTAAGTAAAAGCATCAATACCACAATTTAAATAAAATACTCCATTACAAGTCCTGAATTTCAAACCCGCTCAAGTAGAAATACAGTAAAAGCAAAAATATACTTCAGTATGTAAAAATACTCCTGTGATATATAATATAGATTACATTGTTATGAGATTCTAAATACTGATGCAACAATGTGTAAGTAGCACTTTGCTGTTGTAGCTGAAATACAGGAACATTTAACTTCTTTGGTCCAGCAATGGTTATTTATACAAAACCTGAAAATCTGTCTTTGATGGAACTGCTAAAAAGTCATATAGACACTACCTTTTTTGTAAAGTCTCTCAAGACAAAAATGTTGTAAACCACTGGTTTAGTCTTTAATATGAATATTAATTAATTATTATTTGCATTTTATAAGCTCATCAAATGCTTTTTAATGCAAGATTTTATTCTGAGAGGTAAATATAGCTATAGCAGAAAAAGTGAGATCCCAGATAGAAATAATCAGTAATATCAGATCAGGAAACTACACGTAAGTGAAGTGTGTTTTTAGCAAATGGATGACCTCACACCTCATATGCCTTAAAGGAAGTTCTGACTGTAAATATTAACTAGACAGATGAGCTCAAAGCCTCATGTGACAGCAACATTACATTTACTAGATGGATCATGTCAGCCATATTGCTGTGCGCCACTGCTTCAACTGCCAACATAGGAAGTACGATATATTTAAGGGCCACATAGACTAAATTAACAGAACATTGTAACTTTAATATTTATTCAGTCAACTGATGTTCAAAGTTCATTCCTGACTGTGGAAAAAATGACAGCTTTCCAGTTCTTTATCTGAGTTGATTTCTGATCTATTAAATTCACGAGGTAATATAATACATCTTGATTGTATCTCAACTGGAAACTATATGGCATATATTGCTGTATATTATGTTGTGAAGAGTTTAAACACTTTTAATGTTAAAAACAATGCAAAAATACTAGTATGTAAAAAGATTTTGGATGACTACATGGTTCAGCTGGATCATGATAAAAGTCACCATTACTGTACTGAAAGAACTACAGATAAACCCTATTAACTTTTTTTAATTACACTTAAAATGGCTATAAAACAGATTTGTGTGAAGTGCCTACTGTGAGTGCTGTTCTATTTCAATATGTATACAACAAGTCAATAAGCTTAAAATGCTGTTGTAAAAGGCTTTTGGGATTCTGCTTTACATGGGCAGCAGGTGTAATCTTGGATTCATGATGGTCACAATGCTTTCCATTCATGGTCCAGTATGTCAGCATAGAAATAAAAGTGTCCACAGAAATTTCAGAAAAAAATGCAGCATAATCTACATACCTCTCCACTGTGTGTGTGTGTGGCCTTAAGACCTTCCAAGAAAATAACTTTTCATTTTGTCATGAATCAGATCAATCAAAATTGAAATAATTTTAGAATTTATTCTATTCATAGAAAACATGACACTTTGGCATTTTAAATAAAAAACTTTTTTTCAAGAGAGCTCTCAGCAAACAACATCAAACACTGAACACTACTGACGCAGAAGTATAAGGTCAATGTGGTATCGCAGTGAACAAGTGGTGTACCAATTTGTTAACATGTGGTCAGATAATATGTTCCCATAAACCTTCTTTTATTCAGAGTCTGCCCCTTATTCTTGACATGGGCAGTGGGAAATAAGGGAAATGGCATGCATTTTTTATGGTCTTAATAATTTAGTTTTACTAGAAAGAAACTCCACACTGAGTATCTGCTGTGAATCTCCTGTTATGGGAAGCTACATTAATGTAGCAGTACACCAGTGCAGTGTTGTAGTGTTGTCAGTAAACAAATACATCAAGAATTATTTTTTCCATTTGGCTTTGATTTAAGCCAAATGTTGAAACACATTTATATGTCTCAGAGCACTGTAAACTCAGCACCATTAAATAAAGAAAATAAGCACAAAAAGGTACTCAAGCCCTTGAACAAAACTTCTAATGAATGAATTATACACACTTAAATACTATTTTAGTGTATTTTAGTATTTTCATGGCAACTACATTATGTGTCTGTCAGCATGAAACTGATGTTTGTATATTAACTTACATAAATATTTAAATACACACTAAATGTTTATGAACACAATTTGTAAGTATATGCATGCTAAAACACTATAGATAGCAAAGGCATAGTTACGGAAGCCGTGAGAGCCACGTGAGAAAAAAATAAATACTGGTGATCAAAAAAGTCCAGTCTAAATTGTTTTCTCTCCTGTGTTTGCCAGGTGAAATAAGTACATATATTATGTGTTAGCAAGTTATGTACCTTGTGTTAGGAGTGCATGGAGAAAACCTGGATGAAAATGTATGCTTTTAGTCCTATTTAGAACATGTGGTAGTGGTGCACTCTTGTGGTTGAAATGAGTATTACAACAATAAACACTGAAATGTTTTGTTACCTGCCAAAATGTTTTTTAACCTGTTTTCACAGATTAAAAAACAAAAACAAAAAGTAACTTAGAAAAATTAACATTTTTTTCACCTGTTCTTAAATCAGAAACACAGGAGAGAAAACAATTCAGGTTAGACTTAGAACACTGAGCCACAGTATTTTTTTATCACATGCCTTCTGGGCTTCCGTACGTAGTTCTTAGACACAGATAAAATATTTTGACCTATTTCGTTTTTTTTATCATATTTCGTTTCTCTTTAACTCTGACCCTCCACACAAAGTATCATGCTACATATGACTTTTCTGTATCAGTTGTTGCAACTAAAAGATACAACATTAAAAAACAATGGCATTATGATGGTGTAAATCAATGAGCTGTGTGGTAGTAAATACAATCATTTGAATTTCAGAAGGTAGCTTAAAGACAATCATAATATTAGCAGCGCTGACTGGAGTTTCAGTGGTGAAAGGTTTGTATTAAAAGACTAAAAATTCAAGTTCAAAGGTCAATGGATGGCGAGTCACCAGTTGCCCCAGAGAGTGCTGCTTCTTCAGGTTTTCTGTGCGCCTCACTCTCTCCTCTGGGGTTTTTCTGTACCAGCTCCTGAGAAGAAACTGCCACTGTCATACAGTGATGACTTTAAAGACATCGGCAAAAGCTAAAATCCATACATTTATGTACCCTGTTGCCTTTAGCGAGAGGTGATTAAATTTATGTTTACAGTTTTATGCATGGCATGTATTGCATGTGATTGCAATGCATTGTTAATGAGGAAAGGAGCAACCCAACAAGCTACTCAACATTTTCTTATTAGTGGAGTAAGGAATGTCAAATAAATTACACATGGCAGTTTATGTGATTTTATGAGAGCAAGATGAGGCCCTATGCAAATTACAAGATAAAGGGACAAAAGTTAAGCATGGTGAAACAAGTAGAAGTATAAAGTTACCCCTGGCGGTTCAACTGGCCTGGAACAGGAGAATTTTGGCCTTGGCTTGGCTTCAGGACTCTGGGAAAGGAAAGAAATACTGTATGTAGAGAGCTGATTTTCTGGAGACAATAAATGCAGGAAAATTGAGGATAGAGCATGAAACCAGACTGTGTTTGTATAGCGCCTTCTAGTCTTCCGACCACCCAAAGCACTTACACTACATATCACATTCACCCCATTCACACACATTCAAACACTGATGGCAGTGGCTGCCATGCAAGGTGCCAACTCTCACAGGGTTCCCACTCTTTTCTAGAGATCATTTTCCAGGCCTTTTCCAGGACATTTTCAGTGTTGATCTAACTGGTATGACAGACAGGGTTCACGTCATACACATATGTATTTGTCTCTGCAGAAGTGCAACGGTTTAAAACAAGTTAAGAAGAAAATGTTAATCTATAAACCTAATAAAAACTACCACAGCTACCAGCCAGCAGTGACTAACATTTGCCTTCAGATGATAATGCAACTTATTACTTATTACTATAGAGTTTCGGTGCAAAAGATTTTCCAGGACATTTTACTTTTTTCTCTCATTTTCCAAGCGTTTTCCATGGCTGTAAAATTGGTCAACTGTTTTCCAGGATGCAGAAGAAGACGAACTCTGGAGCAATGTGGGGTTCAGTATGTTGCGTAAAGACACACGCAGACTGGAGGAACCGGGGATCGAAACTGCCGATCTTCTGACTAGTGGACGACCTGCTGTACCTCCTGAGCCACAGCCGCCCCCAGTATAAAGCTCAAAATTCAATCAATCTTACCTCTTTTTCCTGTCCAGAGTCCTCTGTGTAGCAGCAGACAGAACCACTCTCTCCTTGGGGCCCTTGGCTTTCTCCTGCAGTTTTGACACAGTCAGTAAAAAACATTTATTTATGATGGAAGTACGGACAGTGACAGCATCAGACAAAGCATGTTATATGCTTCACTGTAAAGATGGATCGTAAATTTGATTACCATGGTTCTATATAAATAAAGCTCATCATGATTATTTGTGTGCCAAAGTTACAAAAACAGGTAGACCTAGGGGTGACCAGACGTTTCAAAAAATGGGGCAGTCTGGCATGTGTTGTGCAGACAGATGTGAAAGGCACAGCACTGATGAAATTAATAAAAGTAAGAATAAAATTAGTTGATGATGATTTACACACTGTTTGACTTCATGAACAAAAATAATTTACTTTACCAAGCGCGAGCTTAACTGAAAGACAAAAGAGATGTCTGTCCTTCCTTTCAGCTCTTTCCTTTAAAAGAAGAGCAACAAATGTGACCTCCATCTGATGTGATTGCCTGTATTTTCAGGTTACCATGTCTCGTAGCTTCCTCTCTGCTCGGAGCTCCCTGTCCTGCTGCAGCAATGCTAATCGATCCCCCAGAGGCATTTCAAAGAAGATGTCATGGATGTCGTAAAGGGCTGCACGTACAAAAGATGCACACATAAACACAAAGGAAGGCGGACCTCTGCTGTCTATAGACAGAAACTACACAGTCATACCTGGGCTCTAACTCTCTCCTGCAGGGAGCGATCTTGTGCTGAGAAGGTGGCTCTCTTCTGTGGAGCTTCAGTCTGGAATGACCGGATGAACTCCTGTGTATCCTAAGCACACATGCAGCAAACATTCATAAACATACAGGTTTTTCCCAGTAACTAACATGATTCATTTATCAAACAACTTTAATCACACTCACATTGGTGTTCTTTCAACATTTTTAGTTTGTGTTTTTGTGTGTCTGTAATCTCACCACGATGGTCTGGCGCAGGTGTTTGACCTTCTCTGTTTTGAGTAGTCTGCGTGTGAGGAAGCCGCGTATGATGGCTAAGTTACTAAACTAAGTGCATGTACTGTTGTTCATATGCCGTAAACTAGGGCTGTACTATGGTTCTGAAACCAAGGCCGAAACTGCGACACAAGACCGTGGACTTTTGGACTTTTGTCCACGGTCTTGTGTCGCAGTTGCTCATATGGCGGATCTGAGAGACAGAACAGCGAACGTGGTGTATATCGTATTTGTCTTGACAGTAGGTTATTTCAGGTCATTTGCCACCTTATTTTAGTGTTTATATTCACTACTTGAATCTGCTCCTCTCTCTTCTCACCACACTCACACACCTAGCCTGCACATAGACTGTTTTTCAAGTTCAGTCATGATTGAGTGATCATGCAACTTCGACTACTTGTAATAACCCAAGATGGAATAAAATAAATAATAATAATAATAATAGGGCTGACCCCTAATAGTCGAAAATTTGATGCTTCGATGGGCGGAGTCTGATTCGACTGTCAATCTCACAGTCTTCGCAGTGGAACAAGGATCATGCCATTTTGGCGATATGGGGGTGCTCAACGTCTGATTGTAATATTGATTTGTTTTGTTTTTGGCCTAAAGGAACTGAATCCTGTGCTTGCTGCTATAGGTGACCACACATTAGAATCAAGCCTCAGGACTTTTTAAGGTATTTAAACATTTAAACTGATCTTGTTGAACCTGCTTTGTGGACAGAGAGTAGAGTACACTGGCGAGAGGTGGAGACAATATAAAAGAAAGAGCACATCTCCCCCTGCAATGTCAGCTGTTCTCCTCCCTTAGAGTGTGTGTATGCAGGTAATGGAGAACAGGTGGGCACACTGGATTGGTCCTGCAGAGCTGATTGGAGTCTCCTGATTGGTCACCTGGATGACAGCAGCCATCTTAAGACCCACTGAGAGGAACTTCTCTGTCTCTCTCTCTGCCATTTCCAACCTGAGCCTGTGTGTCATGTCTGTTAGTCGTGAGTGGAGAACTGTTGTGATTAGATGAGACTTTGTAAGTGAATCTGTGTAGCTTAGCTTTGTAATTCTGATTGTCGTTGACAACGTGTTTTGTTGGCTTTAGCCATTTTTGTTGTTATATACAGATATTTCTTTGTTGTAGCTTCCTTGTGTCAGCTACTAGCAGTGTGTAGGAGTGAGAATCCCTTTTTGTTTGCACCCTTTTTCTCCTGTTTTTGAGATTAGAAGCCTAGTTTAGAGCTTTCTCTGTTCTTTACTTTATGTTTTTGTTTTAGGAAAGTTTTAGGTTTCTTAAATTATTTTGGGCACTGCTCACCTCCTGAAGCTAAATTGTTTTTCCTGCGTTCTGGCATTGTTTGGGAGTGGGAAGCAACACCTTTATGTTACACCCAGCATACCCCTAGACCTTGGGACGTAACATAAATGACGTAACATCGTACACTGAAGAATAGACAAAATGTAAGTACACAAATTGCGATGCATTACGTTCACAACTGAATTTTACTGTCCCATTTTGTATTAAAAGACCAGTCATTACTATATTGTAGATACAGTGAGATGTAGCCTACTCAATCTGTACAGATCTCTAAAGATCCCTTCCGGGATTTTGTTTTACTTTACACATTTATTAATCCACAATGTCAAACTTGAACCCCTTTTCTTTCTCTTTATGACTAACTTGAAAGGTGAGTTGGAGTAATAGTGGAGAGTAAAAGGAAGATGCAAGCGAATATGCCGTTATCAGTATAAGGCTTATCCGTTGTGAAACAACTAAACTTTGATTAAATTGTTTTTTAATACATTGAAATGGAAATCAGCATTTTTACGAAATGCCTTTCAATGACCTCGCTACAAACCACATTATTTTAGTGACTAAAACTGCCCTTACGCAAGCTTCTCCTTGTTGACACACCTTCTGAAAGTACAAGTTTAGGCGTGTATTTATAGGAAATCCAGTTGTGGCTGCTAGATAGAATAACTGACTTACAAATGTAAAGCACTGATTGATTAAAATATTATTTTTTGATTACCTTCCAGTTGCTGTTTGTCATGGATGATTTCGTTAACAACAAATTAACTGAATGGGATCTCGGGGAGTGGATAGAAACATTTAAAGGTAAAGTATTGCCATGCTTCTTTGTTGGTCACAGGTCTTATACCATTTTGGAATGGCCTAATGCTAAACATCTAGGCATCTCCTAATACAGACATCAAAATGCTGCATTATTCATCTGTAGTACAACGTCACCATGCCACCTGACGTTAAAATCTCGCTGAAGCAAGGAGGTTGCAGGCACCGAGTCCGGCGGCCGCATTTGCCTTTTTTCGTCTGCACTAAGTTGGAACCACATTTTTGCCTGGTCTCGCGGAATATTTCTTTACAAATGCCGCAACATCAGTCATTGATCTCAACTTACAATAAGCTGCGACAGGTAGAATGTGTCCGACTTGACGGCGCTTTTTTGTATACCCAGCCCCTGCAGCTCACATTAGACTATCAAGTTGGCAAAAGCAAGCAGAGAAACAACCTTGATAAACATTCTGGTATTTGCTTGGATCGCTCAGGTAAACGGCTGCTTCAGATCAGCCCAAAACAAAATGCTGCTTTGCTGCAGACAGAGTCAATCACATTTGCCACAGTTGAGATGTGATGCGACCCGAAGAGAAATATTTAGCCTAATGGGACCATTGACTTCGTTTCACAGGATACATGAACACAAGTCTCCTGATTCAAAGGTCCTGGCCGTCCTTTCACCCTAACAATGTTCTAACTGTCTTTTCTGTCTTATTCTGCTGAATATTCATTACAGAACAACGCATTGACAAGAATAATATTTACGGTCTTGATGAGAGAGACATCGTTGACTTGATCCCAATTGTGGGACCAAGGTCAACATTCAAGATGAATCTCAAGTTGTTAAAGGTAAATGTTCACTATAAAGATAATTTACAAGAAAAATCTGTATTTGGTTTCATAAATCTCACCTATGCACTTGCATTTATAATTTAAAGGAGCTTTAATGTCTACAGATAATTAATTTGAACTATTTTCTTGTCCCTAGGAAAAAAACACAAATCAGAAAACGGTTGATTCTTCTGCTCAAGTAAGTTTAAAAACAGCTAATGCAATTAGGCATTAACACTGAACAAAATTATAAATGCAACACTTGTTTTTTGCCCCATTCATAATGAGCTGAACTCAAAGATCTAAGACTTTTTCTATGTACACAAGGCCCATTTCTCATATGTTCACAAATCTGTCAAAAATCTGTGTTCTCCTTTGCTGAGATAATCATCCACCTCACAGGTGTGGCATATCAAGATGCTGATCAGACAGCATGGGTATTGCACAGGTGTGCCTTAGGCTGTCCACAATAAAAGGCCGCTCTCCAAACTGCCAGATGTCATCAAATGTGAGCATTTGCCCACTCGAGTTACTATGAACTACAGTCAGGTCGAGACACAGATGAGGACGACGAGCATGCAGATGAGCTTCCCTGAGACGTTCCTGACAGTTCGTGCAGAAATTCCTTTGTTATGCAAACCGATTGTTGCAGCAGCTGTCCGGGTGGCTGGTCTCAGATCTTGAAGATGCTGGATGTGTAGGGGCTGGGGTGCAGTTATGTGGTCTGCAGTTGTGAGGCCAGCTGGATGTACTGCCAAATTCTCTGAAACCCCTTTGGAGATGGCTTATGGTAGAGAAATGAACACTCAATTCATGGGCAACAGCTCTGGTAGACATTGCTTCACTAACACAGACTGACAGATTTGTGAACAATATTTGAGAGAAAGAAGTGTTTTGTGTACATGGTTGAGTTCAGCTCATTATGAATGGGGGCAAAAACAAGTGTTTCACTTATAATTTTGTTCAGTGTATTACAATAAAGCAGACTTTATTTTTAATGCCTGCTCAAAATTTTGTTATCTACATTGCAAACAGGAGCATAAAGAAGCACCTGATTCTGCTCAGGTAAGGGTCACACTTAATTTCTGTCATGTAATCAGTGAATGTGCCTCTATTCATTATGCAAAAGGATTTAGGACAACATTTGAATAACTGTCTTATTGGATCAGAGTTTTGTTGATGGAGAAAAAGGGGATGCTCAATGTGATGAGGAGTTAGCCTTTTTCTGGACTCAACTAACACTCCCAGGATTTACCAGTGGATAAAGATTTCCCCCTCATTAGGGGGGCTGTTGAATTTAATTTCTTAAACAAATATGGTTTTAAAAGTCAAATTCATGTTGATCCTCAGGTTTGGCCATCCACCAGTGACACAAGTGATAAAGGTGAGACCTACACAGTATCTTTGATTACATGTAGTGGTCGTTGAGGTTTTCAAGGCAGTAATGTTTTGACAAAACTGAGTCCATTTATTTTTGTGAGACAAACATGCAGCAAACTTGCATTTGCTTCTCATTTTCAAAAAAGGAAAGCGAAAGCTGGATCAAGGAGAGTCCAGCAAATGGCCATCACCACCTGGTAAACGACAACGTGACACTATACGTGGATCATGCTTAGGTATTTATAAAAACAATTACAACCTGATGCCATAAATGTACATTAAACTGCAGGGGCCTCATGTATCAAAACTGCATCTGCCAGATATTATATATTATGGGATATCAGGTGACAAAAACAAGTGTCTGTAGGTTGATGGATGCAGATCAACTACCAAAAGGGTGCAGCACAAGCCATGATCTCAAACATTCGCTACAGAATTCATCTGAGAAATTCTCTAGAGGGAATGAATACTCAACATGTCAGTGAAAGGTTTATGTAAAGTCTTTACACACCACTGCAAACCTAATTATGGATCTTATATTGCATTTCTGTCAAGAGAGCCTCAAATATTACACTGAACCTTTAATTTGATCGTGATTCAAATTAATTAAATCAAACATTTACTAAACACAAGTTAGAGTAAAAGGACAGATAAAAGCTGCAAGCAGCATTGGGCGGGCCCTCCCACATGTAGCGCGTCAGGCTGCCGCACTGCATATTCCAGAGCTCCGCCGGTGCGGCTCCGAATTTGCTACGCACTTCGGACACTGCATGAAGGCATTATACGTCACTTCCTGTGTCCCCTTTGTTTCGTTACATAGCACTTGGCGGTATGAATATAA